AGAAATCTAAGCTCAGGGAGAGAAAGGAGAGAATGGGGGAGAAAGAAATGGACATGCCTGGGGCCAGAAGCCAGGCAGCTACCAGCCAGTCAGACATGAGCAATGAAAGTAAGTTATACAGAAGGAAAGAAAGGTTAAAAAAAAAAAACCGAGGCAAAATGTAGATGAAGAAAAACAGTTTAAGTTATAAGAGCTAGTGGGACAAGCGTAAGATAAGGTCAAACATTCATAACTAATAAGAAGTCTCTGTGTCATAATTTGGGAGCTGGTTGGTGGCCTAAAGGAAAAAGCCTGATACACATGTGTTAATTCTGATTCATGTTGCTGAAAATGTTTGTCAACTGTACAAGTTTTCTGGTGGAACTTTTAGGTTTAGAATCACATCAGGAGCAAATAAGGACACTTTGGCTTCTTTCCTTTCTTATATTCACTTATCTCCTTCTCCAACACCAAAGAGAGAAGAGATGTCACTGGTGGGCTACAGTCAGGATGCTCCTGGCAGCCCTTGATGCTAGGTCTACTTTGTATTCTCATTTTAAAACCTAAAACCACAAGGTGGGGCAGATAAGCAAGCATATTTTACAGAAGTGTATATGGCAGACAGAAGGTTGGTTGTTAAGAGCAATGACCCATTGTTTCAGCTCTTCATTGTGTTCTGGGTAGCAAGTGAAATCATGCTTGACAAATAGGCAGTGCAATCAGTGCTTTAAGTTAACCACTAAATAAATCAATATCTAATAATTGGTCCTTTTAAAATCATATTTTAACTCAAATGTTTCAAGTTCTTCTCTGTTTACCATGATGGTGGCTGTGGGATTTTTGTACAAGCCTTTACAATGTAGAGACATATCTCCTGTATCCCACATTCTCCAAGGCTTTTATCATGAGTGGTATGATCACACTGTACCTGTCTTTGAGTTTATTTATGTGGCAGATTTACATACACTGAACTGTCCCCACATCTCTGGAATGAAGCCTACTTGATTGTTGATGAGCTTTTTGATATTTTTAAAGGTTTTGTTTTTGAAAAAGTCATATATGAGTACTGTATTAACATCATTCCCCTCCCCGTACATTATTCTCCCTATATACAACTCCCTCTGAGCACTACCCACCCACAAGCTCATAAATTTTCTATTATTATTGTTAAGGGATAGCTGACTCCATTTTCTTTTTAATGAAACAATGTTAGACTTTGATCATGTCTTTAGCTAGAGGTCAATATTTCTGACTTTTTCTTCTTCAATAATCTTGTGAATTACACATTGTAAATTGCTTTCATTGTCCCGAGAAATAACTAACTTTAAGATGTCTCATGGTATATCAACTGTCTGACCATAAACCCCTAACATGTACCTTTCCTGTGATCATAACAATAACTGCAAAATTCCACTTTTAATCACTTGCTTTCTTGGTATAAAGAGGCCACTGCCTTTAATCTGGACTGTTTTCTCCTACTATGCGAGACTGAAAATATGGCCCAGCCATTATTAAATGTTTACTTTGCAACATTTCAGTGTTAGCTCCCCTAACACCATCAACACCTTTCTCGATGGCTCTGAGGGCCTAAAACTCTTCACCCAGGGTACAGTCTTGTCAAACTTCCACCATCTACATTAGCATGTTAGCTGACTGTCTTAGTCAGTGTTCTGTTGCTGTGAAAAGACACCATGACCACAGCAACTCTAATAAAGAAAAGCATTTAAATGGGGGCTTGCTTACAGTTTATAGGCTTAGTCCATTATCATCACAGTGAGGAACATGGTGGCAGGCATGGCTGACTGTGCAAAGGAGATGCTATATACACATTCAAACAGGTATTGGAAGAGCTTTTGAGCTCGAGTGCATTTCTAGGACTTGAAATAGTGGGGGAGCAAGTAGAACGAAGTCCCACTACAAAATCTAAATCTCCAGAACACGTGAATGGAAGATACAAGGCCAAGGAGAATTACGGTTGATAAAGGACACGACCAGGCATCCCAACAGAATAGAAAGGTCTTTGAGAGGGAAAGGAAAAGAGAAAAGTCAGATTCATACAATGATAACTTGTTTGGCAGGCTTTCAGAATGTAGGGAGAAAACAACAGACAAAGAATGCAGGAACCTCTGGGGGTTAGAAAGGCTAAGTGCTGTCAGGATAGGTGTGTGGAGCACAAGCCACTGGAGTCCCCAGTTGACAAACATCTGATGCTGAGCTGCATCAACCCTACCTGTGTGTTTTTAGTTTGACATCAACAGGCTTTGTTTTTCTTCCTTGTTCATTCTTCCCAATAGTTCCTAAACCTTTTAAAACAAGAACTTTACCTTTTCTATCTCAGTTCTTGATCTTTTATTATTTTTTGGTTTTTGGGGTTTTTTTTTTTTTTTCTTCTTGAAATTAATTGGTTTTTCAGCCATTCCCTTCCCGTACATATCATCAAAACTATAAACTTCACTTTAAAAATAGTTTTGGCTTCCCCTTAAGTTATAGATTTACATTTCCATTCAGTTCAAAATGTTCTTTAATACCCATTTCTTCTCCAATCTATGTATTCTTTAGAAGTGTGTTCTTAGTTTTCAAACATACAGAAAACTCTGCTATCTTTTTATTGAATAATGACCACAGAATATAATCTGTGTCATTTAACTCCTTTAAAGAACCTGAGGCTATAAGCCAAACACACAAGCATACAATGCAGCTTCTACTTCTTCAACACGATGGACGGGTGGGGTTTCCAGTGCCTCTACCTTTCTAGCACTCACTCCTGTGTATATTGAAAGGTGTTCATGTCTCACCAGGGAATGTCACAAAATGAATGTTTTGTATTCTAATCTTCCTCAACCTTACTAATTTCTGGTCTTCTTGATCATTTATCTATAAGAGGTATACTAAAAATCTCACATTACAATCTACAGTACAATGTCTATCTCTCCAAATACCTGATATTTACACAAAAAGACCTTTAAGAAGTTAAATAGAACCACAAAAGACCCTAAATAGACAAAGCCATCTTGAACAGAAGCAACAAAGTTGGATTCATCACAAAACAGACCAATGGAGCAGAATAAAGAAACCAGAAATAACTCAGGTCATTATAGACAACTGCTTTTTTTTTTTTTTTAATTTTTATTTATTTATTTATTTATTTATTTATTTATTTATTTATTTATATTTTAAACAAAAGCAGCAAGACTAGGCACAGGAAAAGAGACTGTCTCTTCAAAAGTAGCCTGGGCAGCCAGGTGCTTGCCACCAAGCCTGGCAACCTGAGTTAGATCCCTGGAACCAACACAATGGAAGAGCTGACTTCCATAAGCTATCCTCTGACTGTCACACAGTCACTGCAGCACGGCCCACCACCCCTCATGCAGACAAGTAATATTTTTTCAAACAGTACTAGGAAAACTGTGCATCCACATGGAAAAAACAAACAAACTTCGACACCTATCACTCACTATCTATACTGATGAGGAGGATTAGAATGGATTAAATTTTATTTGTGAGTTCTGCCTTTGTACTCTTGCCTGCTCAGCTAAATCCCCTTTGTCCTTATCTTGAAAAAACAGACACAAAATAGCTGCTTTAAATTTATCAGTTCTGCTTATGTAAATAAATAAATAAATAAAAATGCTGCTACAGAGAACTCCTGCTGGCGCTCAGGCACATCAGCAGATTCAAATGGACAAGAATGAAAACTGAGAACTGAGGCTTGGGGCCCAACTACTTGGAGTGGATGACATTTGACTTCTCCAACTCTGGATGTGCATGGTTATCTTTCCACCTGTTTGCTTTATGTAACAATAAAAAGTCAACTCAAAAATGGAAAAAGACTTAACCTGAAACATGAAACCATTTGAAGAAATTTTATGCGTATCAATCAATTCAGGGCATCAGTCTGGCAAAGACTGTTTGGTAAAGACACCAAAAGCACAGGCAGCAAAAGTAAAAATGAACAAGTAAGATTATGCCAAACTAAAAAGCTTCAACAGAGCAAATAAAACAGATATAAGAGAACTATAGCACAAGAGGAAGTTTTGTATACTGCTCAGTCAAGAATAGACTAAACTATACAGGCCAAAAATAATCTACAGAAAAAAAATCTGATTATAAAACAGACAAAGAAAAAATGAACACACAGACCTCAAAGCAATATAAATGGCCAGTAATTATATAAAAATTGTCTCACAACCAAAATGAGATCTCATTCCAGCTAGAATGGTGATCATCACTAAAAAATATTAGTGAGGATGTAGGTAGTTTACAATGATAATCATCAAATAGATTAATAATAAATGTTGGTGAAGATGTAGAGAAAGAGTAACTTTCACATACTATTGGTGAAAATATAAACTAGTATGATCATTATGAAAACAACTTCCTAAAAATAACAGAAATAGAACTATATTATGATCTGGAAGTTCCACTAATAGAGTATGGCCTCAAAGACACGTGTGCAGCCCCAGGTTTAAAGCAGCATTATTCACAACACTCTAGATATGGAGTTAGCCAGGAGCCTATCAATGAATGAATGGAAAGGGCAATGCAGTAGAGTACACAATGGAATGCTATTCAGTCATCAGAGTGAAATCTTATCACTTGCATTACCAAGGAGGAACAACAAGGGAGCTTTGTAAGTCAAGCAAAGAAAGACAAATACAGCATGTTCTTTTTCACATGTGTGGTCTCAGAAGAGTAATAAAAAACAGTAGTTAGTAGAGGCTGAGGGGGATATAGCGAAGGTGAGGATACAAAGTATAGGGGCAGGAGTAAAACTAATATTCTGTAATAGAGTATAGTAATTATGGCTGATAAAAATACACATATTTATTTAGTAGTAGAGAGGTCTCTAATTGTTCTCTACACAAAATGGCTATTTAGTTGATGAGTACAGCAATTACCTTTTCGATTACACAAATTGTAGGGAAGTAATGAAATACCATGTTCTACTGCATCAAAGTATAAATTATGTGTCAACTAAAAGGAAAAATTTTAAGCAATTTAAACACATTTTAGGAAATATGTAGATTTGTCAAGAATATAAATTTTATTCAGAATACAGAATATTCAAGTACAAAAGAATGTATAATCATTAGAAAAGATAAAACATTGTTTTAGGACTATTAAGGCACTGAATGCAAATATCTCCTGAAATATGAAGTGTCAAGTTTTTAATATATTTAAGATTCAGATACCCTAATACAATTTCCAGGTTTCTTTCAACTTTCTTAGTCACTGAAAGGCAGCATTTAAAAAATATTTATGATATAGGAAAATAATCATAACCCAGCTTCAAATGTATGCTTTAACTTTTAAAATGTTTTGTTTTATCAAACAATACACAATGCACATTGACACATAACAGTTTACACAGTTTGATATAAAACCTCAGAATATTGCTAATTGAGTCACTGTATTAAACATTTTCAAGTCTTCTACTATTGACGTTAGCTTTAACTTTGCAATACACTCCAAAGGACATGCCTCCAGTGTTTTCTGTTTAGTATACAACAACAACAACAAAAAAATAAGTTCATGATAGAATAAAAATACAATCAGATATTCATAATATGAAGGAGTTCTGTCCTTTTAATGTCAATAACCCTTTGCTATTTAGAATAACATGCAGCAAAGCAACTATTCCTCAGCAGGAAAGTAGACCCAAGATCCACAACAAATTTGCAACTTACAGATTCCTAACAACAGTTAAATGTGTGAGAAATATATACACTTTGGCTGGCAAATCAGCTTTATATGTGAAAATATTCTCCTATGCATGTGAGTAACTTTAGCCCTTTGAGAGATAACTGAGTTAGTAATAAGGCAAAAAGAGTAAAAACTGAAAGCATACAGAAAACTTTTGATTGTGATGACCATCTGTGCTCTGGAACTCTTGTATTACATAAAACTGAAGCTGAAAAGAAAAAAATCTTTTGAATGGAACAATTAAAAAACACCATAACCAGCAAAAATGATCAAAAGCATTTTTCACAAAGTCTTTATAGGAAGAGCAAATAGTTAGAACTTAGAGGGTATTTAGCTATGGGACTTCGAAAAATAAAAATAAAAACAAAACAAAACAAAACAAAAAAACCTAGCAAGCCACATTATCTTGAGGATGAGTCCTGAGCTCTTACAATCTGTGCTTGGGCTCTGGGTGGGAGTAATTCAGTTGGTAAAGGGTGCACAAAGCTCTGGATTAGATCCTTTAGCACTGTATAAACAAGAACCAGACATGGTGGCACGCACTGTAATCCCAGCTCTTAGAGTTCAGCATTAATCTCAGATACACAAAGAGTTTGAAGCCACAAATGATTCCCCATCTCAAAAAAGAAAAAAAAATCAAGCCTTTGATATAACTCAGCATTAAGAGTGCTGCCTACCATAAGGGAAGCTGAAGGCTTAATCCCAAGTACAAGGGAAGAAAGAAAAAAGAATCTATGGGTTTGTCTGACATTTTAAACAACAGCATGACTCTGAAGGAGAGTAGAATGACAACTTTCATTGGGGAGCTGTATATGAGAAAATTGGGGGATCTTATTTTGTTACACTAGATTACAATGAAGGAATACTAAAGTAAAAAGAGCTCTTTTTAATTCAAAGCATGGTAAAAAAAATAATAACTTGTATTTATAATTTATATCTTAAATCCAATACTGCAATCAAAACACATCTGTTATACATTCTTTCTTTCAACAAATAATCACACAAAATGTAGGCACTGAGTTCACAGAAGCAGGAGTCTTGTTCTGTGAGGAACACAGGAGAGCAGTGCTCTCCTATGACAGGGGCCAGTGGAGCAGACAATGGAACATTCCCAATAGAACAGAGCATGGCAGGCCTCTTGAAGTAACAACAGTGAAGTGGACAAAGGATATAGAAAGTAGAAGGAATAAATAAAATAAGGGACACAGAATACAGAATAAAATTGTCAAGAAGAAAAATAAACTTATTTTCAAAAACTGGTAACTGTAACATTTATCCTAAACCTATAAGCTTAGATTATCATCCAATCACTACTCACGCCACCCTCTTAAGATGTGGCCCTCTCTCTCTTTCTCTGCATCTTTATGTCCACCACTGATTTCACCAGCTCTGAGTTCAAAGCACAGGAGTTCCAGCTGATAGCCTGATTCCCTTATTAAAATAAAAAAAAATCTCACAAAAATCAATGATCAGTGTCTTTTAAAATGAGCCTAAGAATTAAGGTTTCATTAATAAGATATGCAGTTTCTAAGAAGACATAAAATACCAAATAACTCAAGATATCAGCTGTGTAGTAGAACTGTAGCAGGACTATGAAATAACAGAAACCAATTCACCCACCCTGCCCCACCTGACCTTCACATACGTGAGGTGTCTTACTCTGTTCATTCCTTAAATCTGGTAAACACTGACAACCTAGGACATGCCAGGTGCTGTTCCACCTGATGAGAGGACAGTAAAGAACAAGGACAAGGCCTCTGTTCTGAAGCTGCTCTAACACTGGCAGCAAGAGGCAGACAGGGAAAGGAAACACAGGGAAAGAAGAACAAGCAGGTGTTGAGGGAGCCAAAGGCCAGAGGCAGGGCAACAGGGACAGGAGGGCAGGACTCTTACTTCTTTCGGTCTTTGTCCTTCTTAATGCTGCTACCTGATGCCAGAAATGACTGGCTCTGGAACAGATCACACGTAGCCTTCTTCTTAGAGAAAGAAATTGATTCTTCCTCCAAAATTCTCCTCTTTTCTTCAAGTTTCATTCTCTCTTCCTGGTGAATTCTTTTAAGGTGCTCAAATTTGGCCTGAAGCTGTGAAACAAAGCACAATCCCCATAATTGACATGATGTGGTGCGAGCGCGCGCGCGCGCGCGCACACACACACACACACACACACACGAGTGGTTTCTACAGTACTCTCCCAGGCCCTCATCCTACTCATCTATACGACTATCCATGCTTCCAGTGAAAGCCTTCAACTGTCATGGGAACCTTAATTTTAAGAGAATTCCTTTATGCGATTGAGCCAAATACATAAAAAGTCATTGCCTCAGGAACAAAACTTTTGATTGTTTGCTAACATTTTTATATCCTTGCTTTACATTTTATCCATAAAGCCTATTTAACAAAGATCCTCAGATTCATGCTCAATAAAAATAAGGGACACAAAAGTACAGAAGAAAATTTCCTCACTGATTCATTGTCCCTCCCCTTACAAATGGTAATCATAACTACCTTCTCTTCATCAGATGTCCCATGGGATGTATTCAAAAAATTAGGGTAAGTTTGGCCTATATACACTTAAAAGATAGGGGACAGAGAAACCTGGCCTCTGAATAGTATCTAGGTCCACTCTGCTGATGAAAAGGTAAATGAGAAGTTCCCTTTGACCGGACTTTTTTCTCCCAAGGGACAACCTCAACTTCTATAAAAGTTAGAAACTGGATCCCTTTTCTGGCAGCTTGTTTTAACACTTACGTACTTGACATAGATTCAAAATTCCATAGAGAATAAGAGGCAGTGGTGGTGTACTCCTTTAATCCCAGCACTTGGGAGGCAGAAGCAAGCAGATCTCTGTGAGTTCGAGGCCAGCCTGGACTACAGAGCGACTTCCAGGACAGGCTCCAAAGCTACACAGAGAAACCCTGTCTCAAAGAGAGAGAGATAGAATTTTAAGTTTGAAAATGTGAGAGGGTGGCTCTTCAAAACAAGCATTTCCTCTCTGGTAGCTTTTTATTTCTGTGTAAAAGAACAATTGATCTAAGAGAGAGAACCGTTTGTCTCCTGTCAATACCCACTCCAGTACACAATGCAGCACACAATGGTGGCTCATCTGGTCGAGTGTATGTGTACTGTAAGGAAGACAACCATGCTGAATCCTGTCTAGCCCACATCTCCTTCATCTTTCCTTGCTCCTTCAGAAAAAAGTAACCATTTGCTATCTACGCCAAATTCTTGAAGAAAATGAACTTATCTCAAAGGTTAGAACAGAAAGACTTTTTGTTCTCTATATACTTTCTTTCCTGCTCATACAAGATAGGTCACTGGAAGCTCTCCATTTCAAAACTCCCCAACTCATGTGAAACCAAAAGAACAATGAGGGAAAGAGCCTTCAAGAGTACCCAATGACAACAGAGCCTCCCAGGTCTTACAACAGACAAAAACTACAGTTTTTATGGATAGGTAACCTTAGATCACATTATTTCCTGGTTATAATTTGTCACTTAATGTCATAAAGAAAGGAAAAAATGAAAATAAGTGACATATAAAGGAACCAATAAGCAAGAGAGAAAGAAATATAAAAGGGACATTAAGTGAAAGGTTTGTGAAAGATGAAACTTAACAAATGAATATGTAAAATGATTAAAGGTTATGAAAATTCCTAAGGTAAAAAAAAATCAACATTGATATAAAAGCTCTATTTTAATCAAAGGAATCCTCTTAGGTAACATTTATAAAGACTGACAAAGAAAAAGTTATGTTTAATCAACAGAACTATATTCTCTCCTATGTTTGCTAAAAATATGTTTTGTCTAAGTTCTGTCTATTACACAAAAGTTAAAACTCAAAGCTACAATCCCCTCTGTAAGAGGTATGAAACATCCTCTGAGTTTTCAAAAAAACATAGCCAATGGCCTAAGCCAATAAGGATGAGAAGGCTAAATGTACAGCCAAAATTTTGACTCTTGCCCTCTTAGGGTCAGGCAAGACCTACGAGGCAAAGGGACCCCTCTAAAAGAGACCTACTACTCTGATAAGTCCCTGTCTTCTTGATCAGAGAGAACAGGAAGAACCCCAAAACTGGAGACTAACCAGTCCCATCCTGCAAAGAGAAGCATTGGAGGAGACATTCCCCTCTAAGGAAAGCCACAAGATTAGCAAGAACCTGGCCCATTCTTACGGACAGAGTTCATTCAACAGGTAGAGGAAATATGACAAAAGCCAAAAGGTTCCTCTTAAGTTCCCACCCCCCCCCCCAATCTTGACTGACTTTAGCACTAAAAAAGACTAAATTTTGTCTACCTACCCAGTCATAAACACACAACAGAAAATATAACCAGAAACAATAAAACAATTCTACCAATCCCAATCAGGATTCCTAGATATGTACAGTTCTGCTGCAACTGCCTCTGATCAATTCCTTAATTGGGAGCACAAGGATCTGGAGCCCCTGTGGAGGTGCCCTCTGAACTTGAGTATCAGCCAGTGTCAAAGAGGCACTGAATAAGAAATGCCCCCCATGGGAATATTTAAACATTGGTCCCCAGCTGACAATGCACTTTGGGGAGGTTATAGAACATTTAGGAGGTACAGCATTGCTAGAGGAATTATGCCACTGGACGAGGATTTGACAGTTTATAGCCTCACTTCCAGTTCATTCTGTTTCATGCTTGTATTGACGATGTGATCTCTTAGCTTCCTGCTCCAGCCACCTGCTACCATGCCTCCCATGCCATTATAAAGACCCACCCTGAAGGCCCAAATAAATCCCTTCTACAATTACCTTGGTCATATTATTTTATCACAATCACAAAAAGCAACTAAAACAACCTATGAATTATCAAAGTAGATTGTGAACACATGGGCCCTATTGTGAAATAAAATAAAAAAGAACCATAACCTAAATATACACCAGAACAACAAAGAGTTCAACATTCTCACTTGAATTCCATAAAAAGGCAACTAACACTGAGATGGTGGTGATCCTACCAACTTGTGCTCTGACATAGTAGGTATGTCAAGGAACTGAAAAAAAAAAAAAAAAAATCCTGAGCACCCGACAGTCCTCACTGTTGATGCAGTACAAATGATTTCTAGTCATTCATCCATCTGCATTATGTCTTTGGTAAATACCTAGAACAAGCCAGGTGCTTCTCCTTAAGAGTCATATGATATTTAGGTTCTGCCTACCTTGAGCAGTTTCTGTGTTCTCTAATGCCTTATCTATCCTTCTGCAGTAACTGCCCCCCCTCCCAGGAATGCCTCTTTGAACCTGTGGTATCTTTTTATAGCCTTTCCCTAACCTACTCTCTTTCCTCTCTCTCTTTCTCTCTCACACACACATACATACACACATTTTGTATGCACACACATTTTGTATGTAATGTGTGATCTCAGAGTTAATACTAGTAATAGAGATTGTAATAAAAGGACTTATGATTGCCAATATCCAGCTATCAAGGGAAACTGGAATTACTTAGCATTGTAGTCAATTAAACTTATTTTTATATACAAACTTGTTATTCAATACATGTTGACACTATGGAAGCACCTAATTGTGTCTGTGTTTCTGACAGTTCATTCACAACTAGCTTGAGATATGTCCATCAGTAAAGTGTCTTCTGTGAACATATGAAGCCCTGAGTCAATGCCCAGAACCCCTGCTAAAGGCTGGATGTGGTAATATGCGCTAAGTCATCCCAGCAGTGGGGAGTAGAGATAGGCACATCTCTGGAGTTCTGATCCTATCTCAAAATAATCAAACAAACAAACAAAAACCAAGGTGGACAGCACCCAAAGTTGATCTCTGACCTGCACACACATATGAATACACGCTTACATAAGGACATTGGATGCACATAAGAAAACAGAGAAACTAACTCAAAACTGAAATCATTGCTTAAAGAATAAGAAGGAAAAAATAAAAAACTTTACAGGGAATTTTAGTATTTTCTTATGACAGGGTGATTCATAAGCTTCTCTAGTCCAGTCATAAGGTCTGAATGTCAATGTACTGAAAGCCATTTCACAGCCTTCACAGTTGCCCATTTACAGTAAATAACAACCCCAACTACTAGAAACAACAACATCATGAGGAGTTCAACCACAGCCCCTTGCAAAAGATAATCCCTGCTGGGCTCGATTGATGATTTACATCCCTGAACAGGCTCTGAGTAGGGCACCAGAGTCTCACCTAGGTATCCAGCTGCTCCTATCACCTGACAACTCTGCCCATGGCCTGGGGCCTAGGGGAGGGCCTAGGAAGCAAGAGAAGAGAGCCAGGGGCTCTAACTAGGCTGCTACCAGGGAAGCCTTCATCCCTGCTGGGTAAGACTTTCCAGGCATGGCCAGTGGGGGTAGAAGTACCCCCACTAAGTCACTCCTCATCTAGACTGTAAGGAAGCCCAATAAATCCATTGGTTCCCCAGGGTGAACTTTGGCAAAACTGTGCCTAAACTTGTTGTTGGGACCTTGAGGGGTGGGAGAGGGTACACATTGCTTTGTCTCCCCTAGGAATTTTAACAACAAAACACTTTAAAAACCAGAACTGAAATGCTTCTGGTAATAATATTAGAATACTTCTTAGTAATCTAATAGTTACAAGTCTTTGCTAAATTGTTCCTAATGGAAGAATGTTTGCTCCAAAGAATAAAAGCTTAATTGGATTTCAGGTTGTAATTTCTTTAAAGCCTGTATTTAAAGACTATAGTTTTCAGAGGATGATTACAATCTTAAGATTAACCCTCCAATTTTATAGTATAGACCATCTAAAACATTGAACCACATTCACCTCTCTTTCAGCTTCTTTCAAAATAGCTTCTTTCTCCTTTACTCGCTGCACAAACATCTGCTTCATCTCTTCTTCCTTCCTCTGACGTTCACCATAGAACTCATGTCTCTTGGCTTCATAAGTCTCTTGAAGACTAAACAAGTTATTTGTGTTATTCGTATGTTAAAAAGATGACATAACAGGTTTACTTATCCATTTTGTTTATCTCTGAGCAGACAGGCATCTGTGAAGCTGACATCACCAAAATCCAGTCCTCTTTCCATTTCTGCAGACAGCAAACTATAACCAACATCATGATCCTTATATTTCCTGCCTTCACCATTGCAATTTTCTTAATGATCTCAGAGCTTCTGGTTACTCTCTAGCTTTGTTAGAACTCCTGAGCTTTTCTCCCTGAGTTACAGTTATACCATCTGTAGAATAAGATCACACCTCTTTTTAATTGTCCTTAAAACATGTTGAATTTTCACCAGTTTCTGATGTTACTGCCCTCTTCCCAAGCCCATTCTTCTCTGCTATTTCCTCTGTCTCTGGAGGCCAGGTACAAATGCAACTTCCTCTGTGAAGGCTTTCCCTTCCAAAGTACCTACAGGGCATTTATAGTCTCTCTCTCTCCTTTTAAATAGATCACAAATACTGTTTCTTTAGAGACAGACAATTCTAACAAAGCAAAGACTGTCCTGGAATTCTAGGGATAGCACTCTTTGCTTAATTGTAAAATTCCAGAGGTACAACAATAAACCTTCCAATATATCAAAAATGCCAAGCTCTCCCATTTGTGCTTATTGTGTGAGTACCCTGAGGTTTAGCAGATAATACAAACTCATTTTCCTGTTAATGTCAGTCAGAAATTTCTATTGCATTTGAGATATTAAATATACTGGACTTTAAAATTTATAATATTTTTGAATTCAGAGTTATGGTTAATATTCAGTAAACTTGAGGAAAAAGAGTAAGAAATGTTGCATGATAGTACAGCAGGTCTCCTAAGATCATATCCTAAACATGTGCAAGAACATTTTCACAAAACATAATATTGTGCAAAATACCCTAAGTACTACAAGGCTGCCTCACATATCAAGAAGGCAATTTACACAGCACTAGGCTTTTTGGTTTTTCTGTCTCACTTTAAACACGCTCCTAAATGTATTAGCTATTTTGACAAATTTCAGAAACTTCACTCCATTTTGTAGGTAGAACTGAGAAGTCTTTTATAACATATAAACATGGTCCCCTGGAGAAGGAGAAAGGGAAAAGATCTCCTGAGAAAATTGGGAACATGGGGGGCAGGGGGAAGGGAGTTAGAAGAAAGAGAAGGGGAGGAGGGAAGAGGAGGACATGAGGGAGCAGTAAGATTGAGCCAGGGTAAGAATAGAAGAGGGTAAAAAAAGAGATACCATAATAGAGAGAGCCATTATAGGTTTAAAGATAAATCTGGCATTAGGGAAATGTCCAGAGGTCAACAAGGAAGACCCCAACTAACAATCTAAGCAATAGTGGAGGGGCTACCTTAAATGTCTTTCCCCGATAATGAGACTGATAACTATGCCATCCTAGAGACTTCATCTAGTAGCTGATGGAAGCAGAAGCAGACACCCACAGCTAAACATTGAGCTGAACTCCTGGAATCCAGTTGCAGAGAGAGAGAAGTGATGAGCAAAGGGGGAGCTCATGGACCCCAGTCTGATAGCTGGGAAACCAGCATAGGACCAACCCAGAAACCCTGAACATGGGTTGCCCAGTTAGAAGGCCTGGGCAGTCTATGGGGCCTCTGGTAGTGGATCAGTATTTATCCCTAGTACAGGAATGGACTTTGGGAGCCCATTCTACACAGAAGGATACTCTCTCAGCCTAGACACATGGAGGAGTGCCTGGGCCCTGCTCCAAATGATATGATAGACTTTGAAAATCCCCCATGGAAGACCTCACCCTGCCTGGGGAGCAGATGGGATGGGGGACAGAGGAGGAGGGGAGAGTATAGGAACTGGGATTGACATGTAAAACAATATTACTATATAAAAAAAATAATGTCTTGACTTCTTATTTAATGGCATTTAAAATACATATGCTCAGGAAGAAAATAAAATAAATGCAACTAGTGAGGAGGAAAGGCCTAAACCTTAATGAGTATATGCCACCAGCAAGAGACATTCAAGCACAGCAAACCTGAAGAACAAGCACTGGCATTCTAATTTCCAGCTGAGGGAACAACAGCTTAGCAAGTCTAACTAACACAGCTGGCACAGCCGGAAGCTGGATATGAACCAGATCCAACTTAAAGTGCACCCCAAACCAGCCTCAGCTGAGACTGGCCGAAGGGCAGAGGTGCTGCTTCTGCATGCTTCCCACCACACCATACTACTTCTGACTTCCTAGGATATGTATTATGGATCCAATTCTAATTTTAGATATCTGTAGCATCATTCTAAGGTGCTACAGAAACTCCTAGTAGACCTGAAGGACATAGTGTGTACAGTTAGTACTGTGAGATGAACAAACCACTGTTAAATAAACATGAACAGTTCCTACCACACTATTCCCATCTCCAGGATCAAATTTGTTTGATGTCATGAGTATGAAATGCCATTATTTTACATTATTATAGATCTGACTAACTTGAAGCAAATAGGGAAAATGCCAATTCTTAGTTCTTATATCATCAAGTCTACAAGCCTTTTCACAGAGATGTTCACGCTACTTGTACAGTTCAAATAAACACGATGAATTTCTAAGTCTATTAAATGCACAGTTACTCATTTTTTTTTTCAGAGTTCCAAAGATAAAATTTCAGTATAACTAAAATAGTTAAGGAACTCTACAATACTATATAAATCTTCCTTTCAAAACTATGGGCCCTACCTAGACGGGGCACATATCTGTATTCCACGTGCCTAGGAGATATAAGGGAGATAATATGCATTTAAGACTAGCCTTGCTATACAGCAAGTTCCAGGTCAGTCTGTACTGCATGGTGAGACCTTGTCTCAACAAACTGTTTGAGTCATCACAAAACAAGAACTACAAGTCCTAAAATACTTCAGTGACAGTGATTTTGTATGAAGAGTTCACAGAAATTAATTGTGAAAATAGACTAGATAAAATAATTTAAAATTACTAAACTAGGGTATTTAAAAATTTTCATGAAAGTATATTTCATATAACTTAAATAATATAAAAACATTAAGGTAAGGTGTGGTGGGTACACCTTAAATCCCAGTACTTAACTTAGTGGGCAGAAATAGGCAGATCTTTGTGAGTACAAGGCTAGCATGGTCTATACAATGAGTTCCAGGCCAGCTAGGCTACATAGTGACTTTAAGTCTCAAAAAAAAAAAAAGTGTTTATGTATATATACAGACACATACCAGTTTTATATACTTTATGCTTAGATCTCATGACAAGAATAGTAGATTAGGATATCAGCTGTGACTTAGTATAGCTATTAGGAAGATGAGGAAAATGAAAACAAACTGAAGATCTGGCAATGAAGAAATAAAGGGCACTCTAACAGGCCAACCAAATTAAGAAGAATTAAATGGGAAAGAGTCCTCAGAAAACAGAAAGCAACTTCATAAAACTATGAACAATGAAGGCTTTCTATGTATTAGGCTACAATGAACATCTTATCAATCTCACAAAATGACTAAGTAAATAAGCAGGACTTTGCCTCAGCCTGGCCTAAGAAATACAGAATCTGGTTTGGAGAAATTCCTCCCTCATTAAGTAGAGCAGCCTGGAAGGACAGAAGCTGTCCATACACAAGGGTCCACTTGCCTTCTCTTGTCCTCTCAGGACCTCTAGAGCTGCCCCTCCTCCTTCTGGCTTTGTGCTGGCTTTTTCCTGATGGGAGATGTCATTCTGTATATGTTTTTCATACTGGTTAATGAATAAAGCACTGTTGGCCAATAGGAAAGCTAGATAGGTGGGGCTAGGAGATGAGGAGGAAAGAGGAAGTAGGAAGAGGAGTGAAGATGGAGAGCCTGGGGAGACGAGACGCTGGCCCCTTTCCCCAGTAAGAAGACCATGTAGAAATATTAGATTAACAGAAATGGGTTAATACTTAAGACAGAGCTAGCTGATGAGAAACTAGTACCGGGCCAATAGTACCTAATACAGAGTCTCTGTGTGTTATTTGGGGCTGGCATGGCAGCGGGACAAGACCAGCAGCAGGCAGAAAAACCATACTCCTACATTTTCCCTTCTCCTAATTTTCTGTAACCTAGGACACCTCCCCTCCCCCCGTCATTTCATACTCTATCTACTTTTCCTTTAGTGTACCTATTACAATTCAAATTTATTTTACAACTTAGAATTTTGGCATCTTTTGTCTACAAGCTTGTTAACTCCAAGACAGTTGGAATTATACAAAACACTAGCTCTTAGCCCAAAACCTTACAAATAGTAAACACTTGGACAGAAGGTGTTGCCCAGTGGGTAGTGTCCACATTTAGCATACATAGGAAGTTTCAGCTTATTTAAACCACTTACTGTTTTACCAAGTATTGTTCAGTATTTACTAACAAATTATTATCTCAGTTTTACCTTCCTCTTATATTCCAGACTCATCCTTTGCTTAATGAGCTGTTTAAATTTAATATTTTCAAAATTTCCTGACCATCACCCCACCACTAACCTTTCTCCATTTCCCATTGTGCTTATGCCAGTGACCACCATTCGCCCTGTTTCTTAGGTGGTTGAAGTAATTTTTAAATAATTTTTGCTTGGCAATCTCTCAAAACTCCTTAAAATTGTATATACTAATAAATTTGTTGCCATTATTGTCTAAGCCTCTATCTTGGTGTGCCTGGCCTCTTGGCTTAGTCTATCCATGTCTACTTCTGGCTGCCCCAACTCATCCTCTCTTGTTCACACAACACCAAATACCTTCTTCACACTCCTGCCCCCCAAGGACTACAAGGGCAATGGTACATCTGTCTGACCCATGTGCATACATACCCAGTAGCTAGCATGCTGAGCAGATGGATGGCAGATAAACAATAATTACTGGCTGAAGGAACATTTTAAACTGTAGATTCCTAGGCTCCATCCCTGGAAATTCTGACCCTGCATTTCTTAGTCATCTACAGGTCACTGATGATGAATCCACCACACAACCCGGATCTCTCTTCTTGGAGATAGGAGATACTTCATAGCTGTCCTGTTTGCTCTCACTTGGGATCTCTGCCTCCTCAGTACACACAGACCTCTGAATTGTCCCTGAGACTTGGAAGAAATGAGAAGCAAAACCTTCTCTGGGAAACACTAGGGAAGCCAACTTGAAATGGTTAATCTTCAGTAAAGATATAATATGACCAAAAATCATCAGCTTATCAGAACTATTGGCATACAGCATTAATTTGGTGGAAGGGGTTAAACACATAGAATTCTTAATTTTTTTATGTTATGGAAATTAAAACACTAATGAAATTTAAAATTTAACTTCATCTATGAGTAAGTCTTCCACAAGGTCAACTTGTCTAAACAATGATTGGATATTCTCTTGCTCCTTCCTACTGTGTTTACTCTGTGACAGGTGTTAACAGCTAAAGTAATTAATGAACGCCAAAAATAGAGTGGAAAAGGAATCCTCATTCTCACAGAAATTCATAACAGTGTTTATCCTAAGGACAACTGCTTATTTACCCATGTAGAACTGTTCTAGAGTGCTTTATCCAATCAGATTTGATTAAGTGCATAAAGAATTAGGATTCTATATATGTGTCTGTTCATTTTTAAAATTCAGGGTTATCATAAAACCCCATATAAAGTTACCAAAGAAATTAAAAAATACAAAAGAAAAGTTACCAAAGAAACATGAAATGGTATAGTCATTGAACAAGTCTTTAGGTCTAAAATTCTTTTAACTAAGAAAATTTTGAACTCAGTGTTATGAGCAGTTTTCCCGCAAGCCTGGTCCCGCAGAGCCATGTCAGCTATATATAACACACAGAGATGCTGTATTACATATAAAGCTGTTGGCCTGTTACTAGCATTTCTTATTGGCTACTCTGTCTTAAATATCAGCCCATTCCTATTAATCTAAGTGTTTCCATATGGTCTTATCTTACCAGAGAGAGGGTCCAGACTTCTCTCAAGTCCCTACATCTTGACTCTCCTCTACTACATCTCCCAGAATCCTCCTTGTCTCCTAGTCCCGCCTATCTTGCTTTCGTATTTGCCAAAAGTGCTTTATTCATTAACCAATAAGAGAAACATATTTACAGAATGACATCTCCTATCAACTGCCAGGAAAAGGTGTTACATTTTTGACTAAGCTTCTGTTACTCCAAAACTTCCTTTAAAAAAAGAGCAAATAATGAAGACTTGAATAATTTAATATGACTTGTATAATAATAATTATATTTTCCAGTTTCTAGGCACAAAAAAAAAAAAACACAACAAACAAAAACCCAACAACAAGCAAACAAAAAGTGTGGAGTATCTTTTAGTTATTCATACACTAAAGTCACAAGTTCTAATTACTTATTTTTTTTTTCTTTTTCAGGACCTCACACATGCTAGCACACTTAACATTAATTACAAATTCCCACCCCACCTGTTTGTACTTTTTAGTTTGCGACAAGATGTTACTATATTGCCCAAGTTGGCACTGAAGGTTCTACAGTCCAGGCAGACCTTGCACTTGTAAGCTTCATGATACAGCTTCCCAAGTTGTTTTTTTGTTTGTTTGTTTTGTTTTGTTTTGTTTTTGGTTTGTTTTTGTTTGTTTGTTTGTTTGTTTTTCTTCGCTCCATTAGAGTCAGGCATAATCTTCAGAAGCAAGGAGAATCAGTTATTGGAGAAGTCAAATGAGTCAATTTCATAGATTTCCAAAATACATTCCCGTCACTCTGGATACTTAAAAGAGGTTGGTCCTTTCTAACAGCCTGTCCTGCCTTCCTCTCAGAAGCCTCCTTACCTGAGGGGCTTGTTCTCTGGGCCCACATCTGCAAAGCCCATTTCCTCCAATTTGCAACGCCTGTAAAGCTCGTAGTGCCTCATATGGGTCTGCTCCCGCAGATCCTCCATGTTTGTACAAATAAGCATTTCCCGCAGCTTTACAAAGTCACAATGATTTTCATTTTCCACTAGCCAGAGAAAAATAAGAAAATTCTAGTTTTTAATTCACGATACACAATTAGTGCTTGTCAAATGAACAAGTAAATGGAACATGAAAGAACAAACAGCAAAATGGGCAGTTCTGATGGCTACTATAGTTATATATAAGTAACAAGGAAGAAACTCTTGCATTATATATGTTAGGAACTAGCAGCCGTCCCATCTGATGATGGGTGGGACGCTCAGCCCTATGAGCCTTACCTGGCGGCTCAAGCTTTACCTGGCTGCCAGAGGACTCAGTTATGCATGTGCAAGCCCCCCTTTTAAAGCAAGCATGCCAAGCGCACCTCTCTCTCTTGCTCCCTCTCTTGCTCTCTGGCTCCTGCTCTCTCTCTTTCTGGTCTCTCTCTTGCTCTCCCTCTCTGGTCTCTCTCACTCTCTCTCCTGCTTTCGGTTGGCCACCAGCTACTCCCCCCCCCCCAAACTCCACATGGGCGCTGAGTCTTGTGTTTGTGTTTCTTAGGCATTAGCTGCATCAAAAGAACAATATATACCAAATTACAGATAATAATAATTAAATTTAATTTATAAATAGTTTCACTGATATTTTGTTTGTTTATACTCAGGACATTTTATATAGTACTTTAAAAACAGTAAGTAACAATTTCACTCTGAAGCAGTAAATTCTGCTAAGATCTACAATGATCAAATTGTACAATATTACATTATTAATACATTTGTATTAAATACTATTCAAACATCAGGAAATACATTGGTATGCTCACTCTATGTTTATAATTACCAAAGTACTATAAATAGATATATATTATAGTGACCAGAGTTTTAAATAAAACTTTTAAAATGTATTTATTTGTTTGAGACAAGCTTCATTGTATTGCACAGATTGACATCAAATTTAATATCTCTGGCTTTAACCTCCTAAGGAGCGAAGACTACAGGCATATCATAACATTTATTTTACATTTTCATTAATTTAAAAGTTTTCTCAGTGATTTACATTTAAAATTATTATCATCTGGGCATGGTGGTATATGCCTACAATCCCAGTACTCCAGAGGTAGAGACAAGAGTATTGTAATTTTTAAGGCAGCTAGGCTGCACAGTAAGACCATTTCATAAAACAAAATCAACACCCCCAAATGTCAGTTAAAATATTTTTTAAAAAAATACTCTGAAGCTAGTGACAATACAAGAAATATATTCTCATTTAACTGCCATTAGAATTAAGGCCATATGGGGTGGTACAGGCCTATAATTCCCCTCAAAGTCAGAGAAGTTAAGCAGGAAGACATGAGTTCCAGGTCAGTCTAGGCTACAAAGCAAAGTTCAGAATCTCAGCACTTCAAAATAAAATAAAACAAAAAGCAAGTAAAAAGTAGATGAACTTACTTGCTTACTATAATGCCAAATAAATGGATTTATTTTTTTAAGCTGGCTTTCTAGTTCCTTTCGAAAATGGTGTGGCAATACTTTGACCAGAAAACATAAATATTTTCAAGATGGAATACTGTGCCCTCTCCTACATAATAATTCACTTGCATATCAAGTTTCACCACTACTTTCAATTTAAATTCTAATCGAGGACTAGAGATGGAGCTGCACAGAGCATGCACTAGCATGCTCGAGCATACTGGCTGGATCTAAGTATATGTCTTGCATCTTACCATGTGAAGGTAACCAGCAGAGGGGACAAAGATGACACAAGAAGATTAGGAAAGCTCTGTCCACAGATTGAACAAAGCAGTGTACAGACAATTCCTCTGATTATTAATTATAATCCAAATAAACATCACCTCAAATTGTCAAATTCAGTTTTGAGGTTTCCAGGCAACACATGCATTTTCTGTCATCATTTATCTTATTTACCTTGTACAATACCCCAAGGATACTGGCGAGCTTTGACCATCTTATTTCCAACTTGTATCTCATCCATACTTCCTACAACAGCAAATGGCAAATGTCCCTGGAAAGGAACCAAACATCAATCTTATCATCTTATACCATAATACCAGTGACTAAAATATCAGTGATGAAAATAGTAGAGAATAATTAAAAGTGATTCTACTCATCTTGGGATATGTACTAATTATCCTACAAGTTACTTTTGGACACTACAAAGAAAATTATGTGCATTTCCACACACAAGGCATAGTGTTATCTGGAATTGAAAAAAGAAGAAAAGGAGAAGCAGAAGGAGTATTTTGATACATGTGACACTGTCATCAACATTTTCTAAAACAAAAATGTTTTAGAAACTATACATGTTATATAGTATACAAAATAATACCATATTTACATTTAGTATATCACATATACTACTAATATAAAATGATGCTAGTGTAGTATGCTATAGAAAGCAAGAGAAACGAGATTATTGAGAAGAGGGAGGTGCGATTCAAGCTGGCCTGGGAACAAGAGTAGGAAGGTGTAGCATAGGGACTTCAAGTAACATGCAGCAGCTCACCTAGGGGCTAGTAATGCATGAATCTGTCTAATGCTGAGGCCTGAAATATGGGGGGGGGAGGTTCACATAAAAAAAATAATGTTTAATATATAGCAACTGAATGAAGGTTTCTTAACTGTCTGATTCATTACTAATGAGCATGTAAATAAAATTAGACATAAAGGCAATTAAAACCAAGGAATCAATTCACCTCATTTACATGATCATGATTTTAGAAATTTAGTTTGGGGTTTCTTCTTATCATGACTATAATGGTTAATCTTCACTGCCAAAGAGACAAGATTTAGAACCATCTCTGTGTGTGTCTCAGAAAGGTTTAATGGAGCAGGGAGCCCCATCCTGAACATGAACAGTACCACCCATGGGCTGGGGATCCATACATAATAGAAAGAAGACCAGACTGAGCAGCAGCATTTATTTGTGTTTCCTGACAGCAGACACACTGTGGCCAGCTGCCATCCACCTCTGCTGCAAGGATTCCTGTACCATGATGGATTATGACCTCAAACTACAAACCAAAATAAACTTAAGTTGCTTTGTCATGAAAAGTATCCAATACAGTACTATATGATAAATCAGAAAAGGGAAAGAAAAAGAATGGACATCTATAGAATGTCATTGGTAGGCATTTAGCTAGCTAGAAGTGCAACATTTGATCTCATGTCAGCCCTTATGTAGACTAAAAACCAAATTTTACATACAGGTTAACAAGTCTCCAGATTTTCCTGTCACAAAAAGCATGAGCCTCAAACTCACAACCCTTCAAAACACAGCAAAGAACTTAAGAAATGTGAAACTTCATGAAAAATACAGAAGTCAGTCATCTTAGTTTCATTAAATTAAGCATTTCATTTGTATAGATGATACTATAAGGGAGGATGAGGGTCAATACCAGCTTCAAGAGTTCTTCCTCAAAACTCAAAATTCTAATTCATTCCAAGGGAGGCTGCCCAGTCCTTTCATGTTTTTAAAACAGGACAGAAAGGAACTGTTCTGAAGTAATTAAATATGATTCAACTAAAGGTAAACTCAAGTCTTACAATGAATTACTTTATTTGGGTGAAAGCAAAAAAAAAAAAAAAAAAAAAAAAAAAAAGAAAGAAAGAAAGAAAGAGAAAGCATACATTAATATCTGGTTTTTGAAAACAGTTATTCTACTGAACTTTTTGACATTTCACATTATTTGCAGTCTTTTTGGGAAACAAAAGTGAAAATATATCCCATGGTTCTCTCTTTATTTATGGGTGCTACATTCCAAGCACCCAGTAGATGCCTGAGAGTATGACCTGTGCACAGCCCCATAGATAGTATGCTTTTCTCTACTAAGCATGCCTATGGACATTCATAAATTAGGTACCATAGTGATTAATAAACGTATGACCAAATGGGACAATAAACAATACATGACTGTGTCTGTTTAAAAATACTATTGTTTTTATGATGTCTTGGTACAATGTCTGTCATAAGATTTCATCATGCTGTTCAGATTGGCACATAACTAAAACTAGTAATTTATTTCTGCAATTTTCCATTTTCATAATAACAACTAAAATCTCAGGAAGTGAAGTGGAGATACTATGGCAACAACTTAGTACGTAGCTTTATTTTTACAAACAGAAGAGACTTATACTCAGTGGGGAGCTCACATTCATTGCACCATTGATCTTGGCAGTAGTGTCGTCATCTGTTGGAAACTGATAGATCTGAACACCATTGATGGCCAATTCACTCATGAGTTTCATCTTAAACTTCTGTAATTCACTTTTAGAAATTGTATCTGCCTTGGCAATTAATGGTATAATGTTCACCTATTAAGAAAGAAAATCCACAATCTCATCATAGAAAATTTGTTTTTAATTCTGCAGTCATAGTTTTTCCACAAAAAACCAGTCTCTGACATTACTTTTCTCTGACCAGGAGTTAGTAAACTGTGATCCAGGTTGCTACCTGATTTCTATAAATCAAGTAAACTGAAACACCACCACATTTATTCATTTATTCTGCTATAACAACTGAAGGACTTGCCATGAGGAGCACAGGAGGCTGACACATCTTACTATCTGCTTTTTATAGAAAAGTATGTAGATCTCCCTAACCAAAACAATTACTAGTTGTTATTCTCATGTATGTACATATATAATATTCTTATATACCCAGTCCTATAAATGCTAGGTTATGATAATTTCTAAAAGGGCTCTTGTAAAATTAAATGTTCATTTGTATCTATGTTTAGAATCTCATTATCCTCTCTCCCCCTCAAAGTATTTTTCAACTCCACACAAGCTAAGTGGAACATAATAAAACTATAAGCAAAACTCACCTGCTTAATTCACTAACAACTTTTATTTCTTTATAATCTGAGCATTAAGTAATCAGATAATAGATGCCCCAAGAACACTAAGAGAACAAGTGACATTTCTCCTTTTTGCCTCTTCTTTCATTCTTTATTTGCCTCTGTCAGAGCCTAGTCATCAGAGGTAGCTACCCACCTACAGTACTGGGAGGAAACTGCCAGTACCAGCTAAGTGTTCTGATGCAAAGGAATGGCTTCCTCAGCATTGCTTCAGTCCCATTACTACTAGAGAGGAAGAAAGGTGGGACATGAAGACTACTTTATAAACTTAGTCTTGCATGAGATTAATGTCCACACAAAAGGTTGATGTCTCAGTTTTACCATCATGTTTTTCTACTTTGAACTAGATACATGTGGAAAAGAAGGCAAGATCAGAATGCAATTTTCTGAATAGTGGAAGTAAAAATAAAGCTGCAATCCCTATTCAGTTTTTAAATGTTTTTCTCTTTTCTAATTCTGCACTGACTCAGTATTTGCCTCTCTATTTACTAGCCTTCCATCTACTTCCAAGGAGACAATGTTTTGCCAACTATCCATGAAGTGGATGGCAGAAAACTCTACAACAATATGAGGAAACAGGATTAATGTTGAATCTGTCAAAGTACATAAAAGTTTTAGTGCCAAGTCCTTGGTTTCAAGAATCTACACTTAGATATTCAATAACTTATGCCAAAGTTTACAAATTGCAATTGCTTTCCATAACTGTATAAATGTTGAATAAGTATCAATGTGCACACAGGAAAGGAAATAATGGATGCTGCCAAAGATGGTTATTTGTCACCATCTGGATAACAGTAACTTTCTATGTCCAGCAGCCATGTGTTTGCCTTTCAGGTTGAAGAGAGGAGGCTAGGGGAACCTTAGAAGCAGCAGTCACCTTCATCTCTCCCTAGTATTCTTATGAAAATTAAGAATTTACAAAGACTACCAAAGGTCTAGTGGCTAACAGCTGCCCATACTAGAACAACAATGGCCAAACATACATACATCCACAACACTGTATATTCATGGACAAAATTAAATAATTGGGGCTTGTCTTAAGTTTTCTTTTTAAACTTGCAAGGAAGATTATAAAATTCATTATCTCATTTGCTACAAAAAGCTATAGGTAAAAAGCTAAAGGCAGGATTATGATGAAGGAGACCAAATTTCAGAATTGCCCTATTACTGGGAAAGAAGACGAAGAAGAGGAGGAGGAGGACAAGGACGAGGAGGGAAGAAGGAACATGAGGAGGAGGAAGAAGGAAGAAGAAGAGGAAGAAGAAGGAAGAGGAATAAGAAGAAGAAGAAGAAAAAGAAGAAGAAGAAGACAGACCCAATCTTCACATGTGACTAATGCTGACAAGCTTTTACTGACACCAGAAATCATTTCATTTCAAATTATTTGGTAGTGTGTAATATATGTAATTCCTGGGAGGTAAAGGGTTGGACTGCTGAAAAGTCCTCAAGGTTGTCTTCTGAAAAATCCACTAACAGAGCTGGTTAACACAAACTGCTCCTGGCAGAGGTAAAGTAGCTGCATGACCAATATAAGAACATTCTAAATAAGATTCTTTGACTATTAATAAAAAATAAATAGAATGAATAATATAGGTGTTTCCTATATACAAACGTAACTATTTTGCAATATATGTCACATATCTTAATGTGAGTTCACTGTCCCCACATCAGTAAAAACACAAAAGCCTGGTTTGTTTGTTCAGTGCTGCAACAAGCTGGTAAGTGGCCGGGCTGCAGGTGAGCGAGACAATGATCCAATTCTTCTCTATTATTTATTTGATTTTATAAATGTATTAAAGTGCTAAGAATTGGACCTCGCCTTGCACATGCTAGGAAAGGGACTATCAGTGAAATGTGACATTATTATTTTTACCTTTTCTTAGATAAAATACTAGTATTAGGGTTTTTTTCTGAGAAAGATCTCACCCTATTGTTCAGGTTGGCTTCAAACTTTTGGTCTAAAGCAATTTCCCTGCATCAGCCTTCCCAAGCAGCTGGGATTGCAGGTATACCACACACCCCAGCTTCTACTGCCCAGCAGGCCATGGCTACAACCTGTTTAATTTAGAAGGAAGTTTAAATTTTAAATAAAAAATATACTACCTGAAGATTAGGTAGTATGTGATTATAGACTATAGTAAAACAATTCTCTGTCTGTGACCTACAATTATGTTCTGGCTACTTAGAAGAAAGCTAAAACATGTTTACATGCCTGTATATTGTGCATACTGAATGCATTATTTAACAGGGACTACATTCATTACCTCATTTAATTCTCACTAGGTAATGATATTAGCTATCTTTTACTGGGAATGTCTTCTTACCAAACCCTTTATTTATATGGGTTAATTAATTTTCACATCTACACTTCAAGGCAGGGCTTCACTTGCTCTGTATATTACGTAGTGAGGAAGATGAGGTACAGAGCACTAAAGGCACTTGCCACAGGTGAAACAGCTAATAAGAGATACAACCAACATTAAAGTCACTGCCACTGATAACAAATTTTATGATCTTTAAAATAATGTACCATACTCTTGTATAACACAAAATTTTACTTTTGATTTTACTCCTTTAAAAAGCAAAGATTTGTATATGAACAGATTTCCTTGGGATTAGGGCAGAAACTAGTCTTTTTTTTTTCAATTTTTAAATAAATATAAAAATCCTCCATGACTTAATTTATGGAGCTGTTTTTTATAACCTCCTAAATTTATAAATAGCTACTTGCTTCAGAAATTCAGGAACAAATTTTCTTGGTCTGTTCAAATGAAACATATTTAACATATTTCACTGCAATGAAATAGTATGCTTTATAATCTTTGCCAAAGAAGTTATTCCTTTCACTTATGTCTGAAATAAGATTGTATCAAGTAATTCTATATGAAAATTTATAGAACAATTATAACAAATGTAATCACTAAAAAGAGAACTTGTTTAGTATTTGTATCTTATTTTCCAGATTGAATATCCCCAAGAGGGGGGAACCTTTTAAAAACATATAGAATAAGCTATAAAGTATGTGCATATTATCATAAAAAGTACTTTAATATTTCAAGTATACTAAAATTTGAGAAGTTGGTTGCTTCCCTAATCCACCTTGCTGTCCAGGCTCTTCATGGTTAAGAGGTCAAGTGTCCTTAGAGAATGGCCTGTTGGAGCAATGAAGTAGAGGCACACATGGATACGAGAATCATGGTAGTTAAAAAGAGCACGCTTGATCTTCAATTCTTCTTGGAGATAGGCCTCAAATTGATCATCTATGTAATCAACTATTGGTTGGTAGCTGAAAAAAAAGTATTTAAATATTTAATACAACATATCCATGCTTAGTAAGGAACTTGTACAATTATCAAGTCTGAGGTCTGTATCTTCCAGTAATATCAGTTAATACTGACACCAGTTAGTACTAACACACAGTATGTACAATATACACATATGAAAATAATTCTGCCAATACATTAGGATAAACTAGCTCAGTGGTTCTCAACCTTCCTGATGCTGAGACCCTTTAATACAGTTCCCTCATGTTGTGATGACCCCCCAACTATAAATTTACTTCATTGCTACTTAATAAGTGTAATTTTGCTACTATTATGAATTATAATGTAGATATCTGATATGACTCCAAAGGAGTCATGACCCATAGGTTGAACATCACTGATCTAATTAGAAATAGTATTAAGTTCACAAAGATTCATTTCTACATCCATTCACATACTAGGTTCAATTCTTTTAAGACTTTTAGAACCAGTTTAATATACAATTAAAGTGATAGGTGGCACGTTAATTGGTTGAGAAAAGGAAAAGATATCAACTAAAATATATGGGTCAAAGTGACTGACTTCCTGTATTCAGTACATCTATAAGACATGAAAAGCTTAACTTACAAAAGAGGAAAGGCCAGTATCATCTAAAGTTATCTAACTGGTAATGCTGGCATGGTATTATTTTCTGTTAATTAGAAATAGATCAATTACAGCTTGTGCTCCATTTCTTGCCCAGATAACCCCCATAAGACCTCTAGCTGTTTCAGTCCATTTTCATCCTTTGAAATACAAATCAAATCAGAGTACTAGAAAAATAGTGTACTTAATCTCAGCTCATGAGTCTGTCAACTTTCCACTTCATCTTGATATGTTAAATCATTGCTTATACAACTTATTTGTATGCGTTCATGTGTGCAGGTGCATGTGTGTGCCTGTGTATGGATCCAGAGGACACCCTCAAGAGCCAGCTGCCTTGTTTATTGAAACAGGGCATCTCATTGGCTTGGGGTTTACAGATTGTGCACAGCTGGCTGGCCAGCAAGCACCAAGGTTCCTCAGTCTCCAAATCCCTGGCACTGAGATTACAAGCATGTGCCACTGTGCCTACTTTTTTAATTATTTTTTTTTAATATGGGTTCTGGAGAGCAGACCCAGGCCATGATATTTAAGTACTTCACTGACTAGGCTATCTCAACATGTCTCCTTTCTCTGTTAACTAACTTTATTATATAATCCAGGGCCATAAATAACACAATAGCAAGTTAAACATTATCAAGATTTACAGAATAAAATCTACTATGGAAACATATATCTATCATGAAGCTATTTTAATAGTTCAAAAACAGTTTCTTTCCTAAGCCCCCTGGGTGTTGGACACTCCATGGACATCTTTGTAGTAGCAGGGAAAGTAACCTTATAAACACACACACACAAAAAAAAAACAACTGAACTCTTTTTTATAATTGTCTGATAATTCTAGTCCTTGCAGACCAGAACCTAAAACACAGAATAGTGTATTCCCCCACTATAGACAGCAGACAGTTGGAGGAGAAAGACAGCAACTTCCTAATTCTGTTTTCTATAAGAATTAGAATAATACCTTGAACATTATAAGAAATGAGTTCATTATCAGACTACCAAGACCAAGAAAGGTTCCTTAGTATACTCGTCTAAATGTGACTCAATCTTCTCTCCAAAAAAAATCTGAATAGTAATAATCTTTAAATACTGTCTTAAGATTTTTCAAAAATAAAACCATAATACTGTTAGTTAAATAAACAGGAATAAACAGTTAAATAAACAGAAACTTATCCTGTTTCTGACTCCAGTAAATATAAAACACCATTTCAATGAGAAGACAGTGACTTATCATTAAACTCACATCCTTAAAAATACCTGACAGCTCAACATTTATCACTTGCCTGTCTGTCTATATGCAATACTATCCTTAAGTCAAGTCTTAAGATATGTCAGCAAAGCACCTGAGGCCTTCAGCTGATTTCACAGATTTACTGAAACGGATTTAATTGATATTCCCACAAAGTATCTGAAAAATGTTTAGATTTGTGACTTTGTTCTGTTCCTACAAAAACTTCAAACCACTGACCACATAGGAATATGTTATTTTTGACAAACTGAATCGGCCTTTCAGGACCAAAGCCACACACTCACCTTTGGTCCCAAAATAAACTATTCATTGTTCCCTGAGGTGAGAACTGTTTTTGCACCAATGGTTTAGGACACTCAATATGGCCAAATTCAAAGGAGGAGTCACCTGGATCAGCAACAGGGGTCAGGGCTTGTGCCCGCTCTCTAGGACTGCCTCCTCAGATGGGTATTCTTTATGGGGTCAGACTTCTCTCGGTTTGGTCAACCATACACTGGTTTGTTTTGCGCTGGATGTTAGGACACTGTTTATTTAAATACCTTTTATGTTGTTTCAGAGTGTTTGGTTTATTTTTGATTGTTTGCAGAATATTCAGTTTATCTGATAACATTCACCCTGTTCTCTTTGCACTCCTCTAACATTTAATTAAAGGAGAGAGGAAGTACTTAGAGAAAAGCAGCCATTTGGTAAACCAGTTTGTTGGCTTTATGCTTGGTGATTTATATTGATCTTGCAAGTGTTTCAAGAATAATGAGAAAACCTAAGCAAAGATAAGTTCACATTACTCTAAAGGAGAAACATTTAATGTTTTATACTGTTTTGGATTTTTCCTCTTACTAAACTCAAATCCTAGCAGAGTTAAAGGTCATAGATGGACAGTTTACTGTAGCTGAAAATTTAAAACATCTAAAGAATGAAAACAAAATAAAATTGGTAACCTAAAATCAGCAAGTTTTAGAAACTACATAAAAGGAGATGAAGAAGAACTGAGTACAGGTAATGTAGTGGATGCCAATTATAAAACAGGATATAAAGCTGTTTTTCTAATTCTGATTCTGGCATGCATTTTGGGGGGGATGGGTGGCAGGCAAGTGCATAAAATCTATTTGATACTAAAAGCATATATTTTAATGTGAAGCTCCACAGTTTCCATTCCAAATGCCTACAACAACTGTATAGAAGTTCACTAAGTTGTATAGATTTTTGGTCTAGTTAATTTTGGTGTGTAATTTTTTTTATTTATCACCAAGTACTTTTAACAATAAAGTTATATAAAAAAGACATTGTCATAGTTTGCTTTCTGTTGCTATGAATTACACCATGGCCAACAGCAACTTGAGGAATGAATTTCTTTCATCTTATACATCCACATCATAGTCCATCATCCTGAGAAGCCAAGGCAGGAACTCAAGGCAGAGACTGAAAGTGAGACCATGAAGGAATGCTGTTTATTAGCTTGCTTCCTGTGGCTTGCTCAGTCACATTTCCTCTATACTCCGGAATGGCACTGTCCACAGTGGACAGAGCCCTCCCATATCAATTACTAATCAAGAAAATATTCCTACAGACATGTTCACAGGCCAATCTGGTTCCCTCTTTCCCAAAACTGTATCAATTTGACAAATAACAGGAGTAATCAAAAACCATGAATTAATTAGAAAAGTTTAGAGACTGCATCAGAGCTAAAAGTAAATTCTGAGAAACATAACTATGCCCAACCTTTCTTTTCATATCTCCTTAGACTGTGATGTCCTTCCTTCACCTCCAAGCAAAATAAAATTTCAAGGGAAAACAATATATGGCCTATTTTAGGTTTAAAATTTAGTGGGAAGAGCTATATTAAAAACTCCAAAATAGAGAGAAGTAGAAGAAAGAGAAGGGGAGGAGAGGAAAGCACATGTGACTAGGGAGATTGAGTCAGGGTAGGAATAGAAGACAGAAGAGAGAGAAAGAGAAAGAGAGAGAATGAACATAAAAGAGAGAGCCATTATTGGTTTGAAGAGAAAACTGAACCTAAAGAAAGATCTAGAGACCTACAAGACTGCCAATTTGAGCAACCGTGGAAAGACTACCAAAATGCCCTTCCCAGATAGTGAGATCAACAACTAACTTATCCACCATCATGGAGCCCTCATCTAGTGCCTGTTGGAAACAGAAGCAAACACCCATAACTAGACACTGAGTCAAACTAGAATCCAGATGCAGAGGGGAGAGGTTGCAGAAACACATACAAACAGCTGACCTGAACAAGGAGGAGCTAACGGGCCCCCAGTCTGATAGCTGGGAATCCAGCATGGGACTGACTCAGACCCCCTGAATATGGGTCTCAGCTAGAAGGACTGAGTGGTCTAAGGGACCTCAGACAGTAGAACCAGGACCTTGTGGACACATTCCCCCATGGAGTGATACTGCTTTAACTGCCTTAACAAGAGAGAAGTCCTAGTCCCTACTTCACATGACTCGACAGATTCACATGACCCCACCTGGATGGCATTGCTCTACATGTGGAATTGGGGTGGGGGGATGGGAGGGGAGGGTGGTCAGGGTGCATGTGAGGGGGGAGAGAGGGTAAGAGGGAGGAAGGGAGGGAGGGAGGAAAGAAGAGGGAACTGGGATCGACATGTAAAATAAAATAAAAATAATAATACTAATAAAAAAAGGAGAAAAAAAAACTCCAAAATATAAAAGCAACTTTCTGTTGATGGTAATCTAATTCTATATAACAAACTTCATCTTTGATCTTTTTCCTTTCACTAGGCCTAGAGATGTAAACTTCCTACTTTGTTTTACAGAGAAAGACATCGATTGGGTTATACTTGGTTATAAGTTGTTTTCATGTGAGTCAAAACTAACTCTGTCCCCCAAAATTCCTAAGAGTAACTAAATTAAAAAAAAATCTGTGGCTATTTCATTTTATATGAAATAAAACATATTAAGCACTAAAATTACTATTCTTAACATGCCTAACTTAAGATATATTGCTGCTACTATTGCCTCTTTTTAAAAAAGTTTTTTTAAAAAAAAGTTTTAAATGGTTATTTTTTCAAGAAACCTAATCTTAGCTAAGCCTATATAATATACAGTTCTAAAAATTTAATGCTAGGGGGGAAAACATCATTTCAAAACCTGCTTGTAAGAGCATCCATGCTTTTTATCATAAATGTAACCTTTAAGTATACTTAGGACACTTAACATTTGTATGCTTTAGTTTTATAAAAAGGTAAACTACTTATTAAATGATTAACATTTTTACTTCAAATAAAATATGCTACACTTTAATGCTGCTTTTGTTGCCCTGAAGAAACAAATGAAAGTTACACTTTCATAAAGGCACATTCAACATGTCTATTATAACAAGACTTACAAATTTAACCAATAGTTGACTTACAATTGATTAAAAAAAAAGAACTGTTAACACACTTTGAAGTTATACCTATATGCATACTTAAAATACAGTGTACATGTCTTCCATGTCCAGATACAGCTTCCTGAGTCTGAGTTTGGAATATAGTTATTTTATTCCTAAGACATGGGGTAGTTTATTTTGTTGTTGTTGCTATTGTTGTTATGTTTTGTTTGGAAAAAAAAGGACCCATCAAGTAAGAAAGAAATAAAGGTTATAAATATAAAATGTTATCGGTATGGGGCTGGAGAGATGGCTCAGCAGTTAAGAGCATTCCTGCTCTTCCAGAGAACCCGGCCAGGTTCAATTCCCAACACCCACATGGCAGCTCACAACTGTCTGTAACTCCAGATCAAGGAGATCCAACACCTTCACAGAGACATACATGCAGGGAAAACACCAAAGCATATAAAATAAAAGTAAATTAATTTAAAAATGTTATTTTAAAGAAGGTTAACAAAAAATGAAACACTTTAAAATAAGACAGAATTCTATTGTAAAATATAGTAAGATTTTGATCTAGAATAAAAGTGTATTCCAAAGATGGAAAATGAAATAAGAGGGAAAAGCAAGAAGTAATTTATAAAAATGTTATATAGGCTAGAGAGATGACTCAGCAGTTAAGGGCAGTTGCTGCTTTTGTAGAGAACCTGTGTTCAATTCCCAGAACCCACATGGCAGCTCACGACTATCCAGAAGATCTAAAGCCATTTTCTGACTTCTGTAGACACAAGGTATGGACATAGCACCCATGCAGGCAAGACACTCATCGACACAAAATATTTTTTTAAAATATGAATCACTAAAAATGAAAATTTAAAAGGCCTGAAAAAACACCCAATTTATAGAAACGCCTCATCTATGGATAAAAATGGGACTGGACCTGCAAGAATAGCTGAAGTAGACTCCAACTGATGGGGATGTCCTTCTGTGTGCTGTGAATATTTGTTTCTCTTATTGGTTGATGAATAAAGCTGTTTCAGCCAATGGATAGGCAGGATGTAGCCAGGCGGGAAGTATAAATGGGGCTACCAGACTAGGAGAATTCTGGGAAGAAGAACACAGAGAGTGAGTTGCGAGGGAGATGCCATGTAGCTACTGAGAAAGAAAGAGGCTCTGGCATTCTCGGTAAGCCAAGATCAGATACATAGATTATAGGAATGGGTTAATAATGAGATAGCTAGCCAATAAGAAGCCTCAGCCAGGGCTGGAGAGATGGCTCAGCTATTAAAGGCTAGGCTCACAACCAAAAATATAAGAAGCCTGAGCCATCGGCCAAACAGTTTATAATTAATATAATATGTGTTGATTCTGGACTAAATGGCTTCAGGACTGGGCAGGACAGAAACTTCTGTCTATAATCAAACTGTTCTGTGACAGCTAGTATTTCACACAAAACCTGTCTATATATTACTTTAAAAATGGAGAGAAAACATCCAACAAAGTAATGAATCAGGAAAAGCAATTTAAAATTTATTTTAGAGCTAAATGTAGATAGTAAAGTATACCTATAAAATTTATTCAGGAGATCAAGTGTCTTGGTCCTATATTTAAACTCATTTAAAAATACTTTTACTTACGTACAAATCAGTTCTAAGTTGATATAACCACTAATAACACTTAAAGTGAGATATCCTATGCTGCTTGTTGACTTTTGTCTAGAGGGTCCACGTGAATCATTTCCTGATAGGCTGGAAGACCACACCCTAACCTGAATACATAGATTCAGTTTACACAAATGACTTTGAAAAAACATCTTTCATTATTATGAAACTATATATGTTTGACAGTAAAATGAATAAAGATTTATACTAATATATTCCTCCCTTTATTTCATAGTCATCAATACAAAATCTACAATTAACCTCTATAACACTACTGAAGAAAAATGGACAAGAAATGACATGATAAAACTAAGCTAGGATTTCATTATTAAAAACTTTGATGCAGGTTTACCTGAGACCAGCAATTCTGAAACTGTGGGTTGTGACCCCTTTTGGGAGTTACATATCAGATATCTTGCATATTAGATATTTATATTACAATTCATAACAATAGCAAAATTACCTCTAAAATATCAACTAAATAATTTTGTGGTTGGGGGCCACCAACCACATTAAAGGGTCACAGCATTGGAAGGTTGAGAAGCACTGATCTAGACAGTTCTCACTGGAGAACATTTCTATAGGCTGGTAAGCCCTATAGAGGGTTGTGTGTCATCTTGTTTTTCATATTGCTAGTGTCTTTGCAATGGGACCTGGACATCTGGAGTTAGTTCATTGGTCATGTGTAAGAGATGAGTCTCTTACGCTGACTAGGGATTTAGTTTTGTTTTTACTTCACCCATACTTGGGTGACTTCAGACGATGTACATCTTAGTCTTTAGGAGACTTGATATTAATTTTTGAGAGGCTGGAATGATACTAATTCAATAGTTACTGAAGGTTCACTGGATTCTTAGTGATAATAAGACTGTTTAAGTAAGGTCCCAGGATAGGGAAAGAATGTATAGGCCCATGCTTCAGGAAGGTTCTGGGGCTGATGGGGCAGGGGTTAGAACCAATGAATGTATTAACAGAGTTGTGGTGTAGGCTACTGGAGCAAGGTTGCAGAGTGAGGGAACTCACCAAGTAAAGCTCATTGCTGGACCTGAATTGGAAGAAAGGTGATGTGGGATGGAAGGGTGGGGGAATTCACCAAAAATGCCTGCCACATGGCTTCTATCTGGCCCTAAACCTAGTCTGCTTGGACCTAAGGCCTGCTTAATTAGAGGGAACTCATGCCTGGTACCTACCCAAAAACCCAAATGAGACATACATTATACAACTCAAGGTTCAAGAACACCACAAATGAAGGAGTGGGAAAACTGTTAAGGAGGACCAAGAGAACTGCTGTGAAACATTATCTTCTGGACATGACAGGGATGTTACACCTATGAACTCTCAACAGTTATAGTTAACCACACAGACCACAGCAATCAACATTCTAGTGTTAATAGGAAAAGGCCTATAAAGCCTTATCCCCAGCTGAACTACAGATAAAGTCAACTATATCACCCATGCTCTGTGCGTGTGATATGTATGTGTTTGTATGTATATGACAGACATAATTTTGAGAGGAAATGTGAGACAGGCAATGGACAACAAGTTAGAAGTAGGGAGAGAGCAGTGAATATGGTCAAAGTGCATTGTACTCACGTATAAAAGTCTAAATAAGTTTCCCATAATGCTTAATAATATAACTGGCTATTTTGGTGGGAATTTGACAGGAAAAAGAAATGAATTCATTATATATATATATATATATATATATATATATATATCACTTTATATGATTGTCCTTATATGTCTTATATATCTTTTTCATAACAAGGTAAGTCTAAAAATTTGTAAAAATATTTATCAACTATACATTAAATAGCATGATATTTTTATTAAATATATATTTTAATGCTGTGGTTTAATTATTCTAAAGAAATATGACAACTCAATAGAAAAACACCACCTTATAAAAAACAACAAAATACTAATCAGTTGCTAAGGAAAAACTGTCTGGGAGCAGAGTCATGTATTATCATTTGTAGCTTAAGAGAAAAGGCAAAGTCTTCACCCTGAAATAAAACGTTTTTTTTTTTTTTTTTTTTGGTTTTTGGAGACAGGGTGTCTCTGTGGCTTTGGGGCCTGTCCTGGAACTAGCTCTTGTAGACCAGGCTGGTCTCAAACTCACAGAGATCTGCCTGCCTCTGCTTCATGAGTGCTAGGATTAAAGGCATGAGCTACCACTGCCCAGCAAAACTTGTCTTAACACAAGAAAAGAAACAAACAAAAAACCCACATACCTCTCTTCTTTATTTATTTGGTCACCAAATCCCACTGTATTTACAATGGTCAGTTTCAAGCGAACATTACTTTCCTGGAGTTCGTATGTCTGAGCTCGAAGTCTAACACATGGGCAAAAATGTGAGGATTCAAGTTCTTCAAAATTAGTGTTAAACAGTGTGTTAATCAGTGTTGACTTTCCAATTCCAGTCTCCCCTGGAAGAAACAAAGCAGATCTTCACACATGCAGAGGTCACTGGGAAGATTCACACCTAAACTCTAGGATGGCTTGAAGGATTCCAACTATTTCAAAAGCTAGGCTGCTTAGAAATCTAGGCTAAAGCTGGTCCTAAATCACCAGAAGAACAATGACTATACATGCTAAACTACTCTGACCTCTGAAGAGATCAAGTTTTTTTTGTTTGTTTGTTTTTGATTTTTTTAAGTTTGAAGTTAAACAAAACTAGTAGAATTTAAATAAGTCATAAAATGCACAGACCCATTCATCTTAGACACAAGCATCATCCTGCTTCTACAAAGAATGAAGTGACCACAGGAACATGAATTCTGAAAAACGCAGAGGAGAAGTTATTGGCACTCACCCACACAGAGAATATTAAAACAGAAGCCTTGCTGAATGGATCTATCAACCAGCTGATCAGGTAAACTTTCAAAACCAACATGGCCACACATAGTCAAGGAACGGGTATGTTCTTTTTTCTGAAGAAAAATAAAACAAGTAACTTTGATTTTCATTATTTTTATATTTGGAATTTGACTTAACTAATAGGCACACTTGAAAGGAACTGAAGCAACTGATGATTTCACCACTTCTATTTCTGACTGAAGAAGATAAAAGTGATTAGGCACATCTGTGAAACTAGAAACCAGTGTTGAACCTCCCACAACACTCACTTTTATATGACAAAAGTCCAGCACAATTTTTAACATTAAATGTGTGACCTCCAAAACCAACAAAACATCCAAGTAAACTATGGAATATTCACTAACAAAAAAGAGGAATTATTGCCATTAAGTATGTTTATATATAAATCTTAAATAGTTAGGAAAATCTGATTAGAAAACAGAGGTATAGATAGTGGCACTTTTACATTCTGAATTATAAGGGTATATTTGTATTTCATGTTACAGGAAAGATTCTACATATATTTATTATAAATAATTCAACACATACACACTGCTAACATTCTGAGTGAAACTCGAAACCTAGATGGAGCCTTGAAAGGAATGCAAGGCTTAGTGGCCTTGGCGATAAGCAAACTCAGAAACACAGAAAGAGACAGCAATGAGGGGGAAATGCAGGAGACAACAAAGAGAGAAGCACCCAATAAGAACCACTGAGACAAGGCTGACTATGTGACTAGAGGGACAAGGCTAAACTTTGCAATCATTTGCTGTCTTTGTTGCTTTTCCCCCATTTATATGAGCTGGAGATGGGAGACAGAGAGAGGAAGGGAGGGAAGGAGGGGGAGGTTAAAAAAAAAAAAAAGAAGAAACACTGCACTACAGTTAAAGATTCTGTAAAACCAGATATTTGATATTATGGAGAGTTAAAATATTGCAAACCAGAAGCAAATTACCTTGAGTTAACGTATTAACTCCCACTGAAAGCTAATGTCCCAGTGACTATTGTTTTAACTTATAAGGTCTTTTTAACAGACCATAAGCTGTCACCAATCCAACAGTTAAGAATCTTAATAACAGTAAGGATGTTTGAAAAAGTGTCAAGGAATCATATTTTTGTTTATGTAGGTGTGTGTGCGTGTTTGTGTACATATGAAGTTATGAAACTTAGACTGACAATATTCCCCACAAGAGTCATGACTATCAAATAAAAACTGTAGTACTGGGCATGAGAAACCCCTATTCTGTTTCTAAGAGAAATGTTCTTTCTGTGGCACATATAATACATTATAAATAAGTTCCTAATAGCTATAACACAATAAAATATTATTAAATTTTTTTTATTTTAGTTTGCAAGAAAGTTATGTTACTTTTTATAAATATACAAATGCTGGATCTAATCTGCCAACAATGCCTCTCTTGTCGGCCTTTCCACCCATTTTCTGTTGTCATCTTCAGAAAATGTAACCATTTGCTATCTTATTCAATTTTTTTTAATTATCTTTTTGTGTTCAAAACTGCCAATTCTAGGGGTTTTCTCCATTCCTGCTCATAAGATAATTTAGTGTTCAAGATCTTTGGTAAAATGAGACATTCTCTTCTCTAACTCTTATATTTTAATTAAAAGAAAAAAGGTAAAGGAACATTTTAAAATTCCATAAGGCAATGGGGTATAAGTATAAATTAAAACAAAAACTTAGGTACTAAACAGGTAATATTACTTGGCTATATTATATCAAGTGTATAATTTGGATTCAACTCTTAAGAGAAATGATATAAACAATAAAAAGTATATTTTAGGAAAATTAATATTTTAGATAAGGATGCATTTTTTTACAATAAAATAAGATTTTTGTAAAAAACAAAAAAAAAAAAGGTGGAACTAAATTGAAAGAGTTTATGACCAAGAGTTATGGCCAAGAGTTTGACAACATGAGTGCTATGAGGCTGAGACGATGCTTGATGATTAAAGGTTACTAAACTTCCTAAGGTCAAAACGCAATACCCTGAGATAAAACAGATGCCTGAGATAAAATAGATGCCTGATTCTGTTTACAACAACGAGGCTTTCTTAAATGTCATCTGCTCTTAGTCGGTTTTCCCACTGTGTAAAAACCTCCACTTACTGGACTACCACTGCATTAACAGCAGAAAAAAGTTCTATTTAAAAAAATTATTCCTACCTGAGGCATTCCCGCTAAATTACACAATAACTAAAATTATGTAATCATAAGAACATTTTCCTGAACAAATTCTTAAATCTATGTATCTAATCAGCCTGTCATACAAATAGTTCCAATATGCAGACCAATAACTAAACAACTATAACTGTCAAAACCAGCTAAAGCTTACTTTTCCTTAGCTTAAGATATTTTTATTAGTCTTTCTAAATTTAAGTTCTACCCTTTGAAAAACATTCTTTATGTCTATATTAAGCAGGTACTAAACAAAATAGAGGCTCTGCAAAGGGAAGAAAAGTGATCTGCATCTGTGTTAAAGGTTCTATGAGACCAAATAATTCAACTTTGAGATTATAGAGTTGAAATGTTATTTTGAGCTATTTTTAGTCCCTTTGAAAGATTGTCCACCTATGTCTGATCTCAGGTCCTTGTGACTATCAAGACTTTTAAAAAATACATATTTTTGTCAGACCTCTTTTACTAATCCACTTAAATTGCCATCAGACAGTATCTGAAACCTATAGCAAAGTTTTCCTTCTTTGCTCCCTGTGGCTTCATCAATGTATTTGGTAAATAATTTGACTTATGTCCTTCTTTATTCTACAACTAATAAAATCTTGTGTAATCACTTCCACGGCAGAACACAGTATTTGAGGAAAGCTGAACCTACCTGTATTCCTAGATCACAGTGATTCGTATTTGGTTATTTCTTAATCCCTTTGAAATAAGATGTTTTACATAAACATTCATTAGCTAGAGATGATTATGTATGACAGATCTAGTATGTTTATCCACTGTCTTAGTTTGTTTCTCTCTTGCTGTAATCTTGACCAAAGCAACTTAGAGAAGAAAGGGTTTACAAGTTACAGTTCCTTATCAAAGGAAGCCAAGACAGAAACAGAAATAAAGACCACAGAGGACACTACTTACTGGCTGTTCTCCATGACTTGCCCAATTTGCTTTTCTTATACAAACCAAGACCACTCACCAAGAATGGTACTGCCCACGGTGGACTAACCAGGAAAATGTGCTCAGACATGTCCACAGAGCAATCATCTGATGGAAGCAATTCCTCAACTGAAGTTCCCTCTTCCTGGGTGAATCTACTTTGTCTCAAGTTGACAAAAACTAACCAGTATATCTACCATCTTCTCTGACAGCTGGCTTTCTGAATAAAGAACAACTAAGATTCAATTCTGGTATGTTCACTGGAATTTATGGAGATTTAGCAGCATCAACTCTGGTATTCCAGTTACAACCCTACATTAAAATGTCAACTAAAAAACAGCACAATACAAAATTGTATAGTTCTAAGTCCTTGTAATGACAAAGTAACATGCCAAACCTGCCTTCATGTTGATGGCAATTATAAACAACTCTTTCAAGTCACTACAGTGAACTAAGAAAAAGCAAACAAGGGAGGAAAAAAAATTCCAGAGAAGACAATTTATTACTTGACATCTTCCTAGTTCCTCCCCTTGAGTATATACCTGGTCAGTATGGCTTATGAAGGAATTAATCATTTTCCTGGGTTAAAAAGTCATTTGGAGGTTGAATCACAGAGTTAGGGTTGATATTCAGGAAAGGCACTGAAGAAGGGGAAAAGTCCATACTCTGTATGCATACTCCCCTCTAATTCATGCTGACTAAAACTCTGTACAGCAGAAGAGTACAAAGATGCCAGCAGCCAATAAAGGAGTCAAGCACTCATGAAGAGTGCTATTCTAGGCAGATGTATAGCACTTTAAAATTCTCTAAATTAAAATGGCTTACTGTATCTCACCTGATATTTCCACTAATGTAATTGAGAAGTCTTGATTTATGACTTTTTTTTGGTCTATCACTACAAAACTTCATGAAATCCTACTACATCAGAACACATAATTTGGCACAACCTAACTCTATGGTTCCATGCCTTGTCCACTCATATGGTCACAAACTCTTATCCCCTTTAAGGTTAGGGTTGTAGATGTGGGGTTTTAGTTTGTCTTTCTTTTGTTGCTGTTGTTATGCTTTAGTTCATCAGTTATGGGAATAAAACACCAATATAAGATTAACCCCATCCAGACCAGGTACCAGCAATGGCCTCCTGTACCCAACTATCTAGTGATGCACACTGATGAGTTAATTCTGGGGAACTCAGGCTTCTTGGGCTTTGGTTGATGGCTTATGCTGATCCTATTTATTGAATACCCTTTTTGCAAGCTTTCACAGCATAGTTTAACATTGTTTCCTTTGAAAACATTTTGGCTTCTCACTCTTCTGTTTGTGTTTGCTCTCACAGGTCTGAAAATGCTCCCAGGTGCTTTTAGTCTTTCCCTAAGCACCCTTTCTTCCTATTTTAAATGAACTCCAACTGGGCTTCATGATGACTCATCCTGAAATTCTTCATGTCAAAGCCAAGGATTTAGTTTTACTTGAGATAAGGTCCTAAAATATTAAGGGAACTCTTTAGGCCACTGAAGGTGACTAGAGTTTACTCCACCTCTGTTACAGAGGGTAGATAAAAATGGGGGGGGGCATGATACACAGAAAGGAAATAAACCAGATGAGATTTTCACAAGGCCCCACAAAAGTAGCCTAAACAGCTAGGAACTGGTACCCACATACATCATTCTACCTCTACCAGACCAAGATTTGCAGTAGTAGCCAGCTCACTGGTGTGGACCAGCAGCAACTACCAAGGAGATGCAAGTCCCTCCTGGACATGAGTGTTATGGGAAGAGCAAGCTGGAGAGAGACTGAGCAGGCTGTGGATGACCACAGACTGGATATACTATATACAGAGAAGACTGGAGCAGCTCTAGCTGTATAGCTTGTAAATTATAGCATGAGAGATACTTTGAACCAGAATTCTCCATGAGAGCATGGAACAGCTAGTCCAAATATAGGAGA